CCCCGCCCTCGGCCGGCGGTCTGCCAAAGACGGCATGGCGGGAATGAGTAATCGCCGCTCTAAAGCCCCCACCCGGGTCTGACGTCACTCCGGGGGGCGACTCCCGGGTACCTTTCTGGTACCGCCCTGCTGCCTCCCGGGTGCCGCGTGACACGGGGGAGCAGCGCGGCGAGCACAACACTACACACCAACACGAGGCTCTCTGAACGCGCACCGCCAAGCCCGTGAGCCGAGCCGCGCGACGCACCCCGGGGGGCGCGAAACAGATCCATACATTGCCCAGGGCCGAAAGGGTGGCGCCCAAAACAAAGTGGCAATCGCAGCGAAGGCCCCCCGCGCCCCGCACCCCACACCGCCAAGCACCCGACCACCGCGCCCGCAACAACCGCGGCCCCCAGGCGCCCCCAACTTTAGTTTCGGCAAATGCGGATGGAATTCAACAGAGCCATCGCAATCGCGTATCCCATGGAAATAGGAATGCGCGAGTATTCGGGCCCCCCCCTCCCCCCCCTCCGCGTCCCTCCCCGTCCTGCCCGCCGGGTATTACAACGGCTCCGGTACAAAAGAGACGGCGGCGGCGCGGGCCGGCCCGCTACGGCAGCTGCCTCTGGTGCGGTGCCGGCGGCAAGGCCGGCGGTCATGTCGCCGTTGTTGGCTGCACCGCTCCACTGGGAGCCGCGGGCCACAGCTTTTCATAAGTTAGCCGGCCTGCTTGGCTGGTGCGCTTCCTGCCCAGGTCAGGGGCGCGCAGGGCATAAGGCACGAGCGCCAAAGTGGGCAGACGTATGCTGCCCGCCTCTCTCCACCTCCTCTTCCTGCTGCTGCGACAACGCCGGCCTGCCGTGGCGAGCGACTCGGCATAAATTTCATTTCGCCTTTACCGGGCGGCGCCCGCGCTCACCGTTTTTTATGAATTCCACGGATGGACTGTAAAGTGGAGCCGGCGCAATATACAGACGTCGTATGGCGTCGTATACACGAGTTGAGTCAGTAGTGCGAGAGAAGTGGGGCGAGGAGGGGTGTACCGGGCCCGCGGGAGCCAGCCAGCTCCTGCTGGGCCTCTGTGGGCAGGGGGACGACGCCACTACGCCACGCCACGCGCCTGTTGCTAGGGAAGCAGAGGCGGCAGCAGCGAGGCAGCGCCGACTCGGGATACAATTCAAACACGGGGTGTACGGTATGACACTGTTGCACGACCCATTTGTGAAGAGAGGCGAGAGCATAAAAGAAAATTCGAATCTTTGCGCGCGCGCAATTTCCTGGGTGGCTGCAGAAAAGCGGGGTGGGGTGGGGGGGCCGATCACAAGTCAGCCCGGCAGACGATAAATGAGTTTCTGAGAGGCCCCCTCCTGCAACCCCAGATTGCCGGGTGGGGGCGAAATTCGCGGACAGTCACTGACGACAAAGTGCGGCCCGCTCCGCTTCTCTCGCCTTGATGAACTTTCCTTTCTCTCCCACACACACAACCATAATGCGCCGAATTTCTCATCACAATAACACAACAACCTTTTCGAACACAGTTGTCTTTGTTGGCCTTTGTGGCCCGGCCCTTTGCCCACCCTTGCCGGTCCCACCCGTCCAGTCTGGCTTCTCGTCTTTTGTGTCTCGGAACGCGGTGGAAAGAAAGCAAAAGGACTGTAAGTGCACGAAAAGTTAAGCCGGCCAGCGGAAGGAGGACAAGGATATCCTCTCTGCGCGCTGCCCGCCCCGTCATCCCGGACCATACCGGCGGCGCGTCGCCCGAGCCGACCTCAGCCCACGGGCCGAGGAGGCCTCAGGGCCTCTACCCACAACCCACCGGCGCCGCCCCTCGTTTTGGCGGACACAAAATGTTGTATCAACTTAAGAGAAAGACGCGCTTCGGGAGCGCCGCGCTCCGGTCCCGTTCGTCTGGCGCCCAGCTATTAATATAGGGAACCACGGGACTCTCTTGAATAGATATAACGAAAGTACCAGGGTACCCGCCGGTCAACGTGAATCAGGTAGGCTGCGCGGCTGCCCATTGAGTTTAGCTTCAAGCCGCACCCCATTAACACAGCCACAAATCGACAGCGATTTTCATTTATTCATTACGGTCACATTCACTCTTCGCTGTATCTCTGGATTTGACAAAACACGGAATAATTCACAAAATTCGAGCAAACCTTTATTTGCTAAAGCAGCTAAAGCCAGTAACAAAAATGAAAAAAAGAAACGAAATCTGGGTCAGAAAGGGAGAAGACATGTCTCATTATGCAATTATGCATAATTATGTAGTCACCCAAATAACGGCCATAGTGTCCGCAGAGCCCTTAAAACTTGTCTGAGGATTTCACCGTTTCTTCACAACATTTTAAGCAGCTCACTTCGACTTGGACCCAGGCGGGCAGCACCCGCAACACGTCTAGACGCAGCCCGTGGCACGTGCATTGGCCCTGGTAGCAGACGCCGTCCCTCCGCAGCTTGAAGCTCTTGAGCGCGCGCAGGCCGCACGGCCGGAGCAGGCTGTCCAGCCTCATGCTGGTCCAGGGCAAGATGAGCAGCAGCTCCTCCAGGGTCCGCCCGTGGGCCAGGAGAAGCGACTGCAGAGTGGCGCGGCGGAGGCCCTCCACCTTGAGCCACTGCAGGCCGCTGTGGCCGGGCGGGAGCTCGGGCAGCACGAGGGGCAGCGCGTCGAGGGCGCCGTCGACACACGACAGCTCCAGCCTCCGCAGCCGCGGCATGGCGTGCACGGCACGCAGGTGGGCCTCGGCAGGGTTCCGGACGCTCAGCTCCGTCAGGCTGGGCGCGGCACGCTGCAGCAGCCGCAAGCTCCAAGCCAAGTCCGCATTGCAGACCAAACCACAAAGCCGTTTCGCCTACAGAACAGAGAAATCAGTTAAACGGCATTTAACATTATATGCATCGAAACGCTCGGGTGGGCAACCCGCTCGCTCGTAGATACAGCGGTACAGCATAACTACAGCAGTGCACGGGGCTTATAAGCCACCTAGAAACAGATCGCTAAAATAAGCAGTTATGAGTTTCACACTTACATTTGACACGTCTCTCATTGTCGCTTCCTTTGCTATGCGAGTGAGGCCCTTCACATGTAGACTCAACAATGTGAGAGAGGGGCTTTGACGAGGAGGTGGTGAGTGCCGGTCTGCTGAAGTAGAACTGGAAGTGGAACGATTTGGACGTTGTGGGACGCTGAGGGCCCTGGTATTGTATGGTCGTGGCCTGGAAGGTCGTCGGTGCCGGACTGCAGAGGGGGGCCTCTGACCGAGCGGTCGAGGATCCCGGCCTGCAGTTCTGGTCTGCACAGTCGGTGTCACAGCGGCTACTGGCACCCGAGAACTGCCCGTTAGCTCTCCGTCCCCGCCCTCTGGTGTTGGCCGCTTAGTGAGGCCGGCCCTCGCGGCCAGCACCAGCCACATGGCCTTGACGAGCGGGTCCTCGGTGTTGGTCACGGTCCCGGTCAGCAGCTGGCCGCCGTCGCCCCGCAGGCTCAGGTGCCACGACCCGGCAAACAGTAAGGTCAGCAGGACCTCCTGGTCTCGGCACTCGAGGCCCTCCAGCTGGCCGGCGGCCTGCTGCAGCACGCGCGGCCCCAGCTGGTGCCTCACGGCGGCCTTGGTGTTGAGCACAAGGTGCTCGTCCCAGCACTGGCCAGTGGCAGCGGCGCCGCACCTCACGCACCAGCCGCTCCTATTCAAAGAATTGCAAAAATGTAGTGTCTAGTTTGGCCTGTGGCCTGCGATGTTGGACTAATCTGCCTTTTTAGAGAGCTAATAACTTCAGTGGCTTTAAAGAGGCACAAAAGAACTGCACTCCTAAAAAAGCACTAAACTGCACCAAAGTGCTAAATGTTACTGGCCTTGGACACTTTTTTGCTTTTGCAGTGTCACAGAAAATGAAAAGTACCGCGCGGTGTGTTGGAGCCGTTTGGTAATTTTAGTGCGACACTATCACGTTCTTACATTATATTACCTGGAACTGCCTTGGCGCTCGAGCAGCCGCAGCACAGTCAAGTTGGTAAGAAGAGACGAGGGAGCCGAATCAAACTCCTGCAAAATCAGAAAGTGACAAAACTGTAAAAAGGGGAATACAAAATGGCGGTCTCGCAAAGACTCGGCCAGGCGCCAGTTTCAAGCAAGCGCGCCCACTAGGTACGTAGCCATGAGGAGGGAAGGGGAGGGGGGAAGCACCCAGAGGCCCATAGGGCCTGATGAGCAGGCTGGTAACATTGCACTCCGTCGTAAAGACGCCCAAACGCGCGTTACCCCCCCCCCCCATTTTTTATAACACAAGCGTTCACATGACGTTTTTCGGGATTTTCGTTACAAGAGTAACTCTTTCAGAAGAAAACATGCCCCCCCTCCTCTTTTAATAGCGAGGCGCACCTTTTTTAAAAATGTTTGAAACTTAGTCTCTAGGCTGAACTTACCGCGAAGCAGACCGGGCACTCCCACGTCGCATTTCCCTGAAGGCACTTGAGGCACGACATATGTCCGCAAGGCACCATCTTGGGGGCTCGGTCGTCTTTGTTGAACTCTTCGTTGCAGGTTTCACACTCCATGCTGCTGCTGGTGCTCCTTATCGTCAATGAGCCTGAGCAGCTTTCGGCGCAGGATCAACGATCAATCTGACGTTCTCGCTGAAAATGAGAGAAATGCAATAAAGAAAGGTACGTGCGGCAGGCTGGCACGCAATAGAGCATTCCGGTAACGCTGAAATGCAGAAGAATGGATGGAACAATAACACAGAAGTATACGAGTGAACGCATAAAGCTTTCCGTTATCTTGTTCCCCGCATTCTTCTTATTTTTAACTTTACCGGAATGCTTTGTTTCAAGGCGATGGTATGATAGTATTCAAGTGGGACCCCCGGCGGTCGGCGCCCCTCACAAGTAGGCAACCTATCCTGCATGGGCGTGATGAAGGGCGGCGGTTGTACGGGCGGCGGGAACACGCCTAAACCTGACCAATAGTCCACAATTAGAATGGGGATGTTATTGGATTGAGGTAACCAGGTATCAGTTCAGGACCCACTCTCAACTGACAGAACCGAGGGGGGGGGG